AGACAAAGTGATTAGAATGGAATAACAGTTGAGTACATACCTACATGCATTTCTTTCTTTCTTTCTTTTTTTTTTTTTTTTTTTTTTTGCAGAACAGGGGATTGAACTCAGGCCCTTGAGCTTGCCAGGGAAGCGCTTTTTTCTACTGAGCCATCTCCCTGGTCTGCTGAATGCCTCTTGACATGACCTTAACTTACAAAGAACAAAGCATTTGAAAATGTAAAGTTAAATGAGGTCAAAAAAGTGATAATTCAACTTTTGTCTTAATCTGAAGGTGCGTCCATAGACTCTTAAATTTGCACAATATTCCAAAAGCGAAGGAGTTTCTGGAACATCCAGAAGGATCATGGGGTACTAACCACATCAAGGAGATTTTCAGTGTGTACAAGTTAACATCTACATCAAGGAGGAGGTCTTCCTCCCTGAGCCTCAGAAGGCTCAAAGCCACCCTTTTAAGTATGTAGACATGCTTCTGGAGATCACTGGCTTCTATCCCCTCCCATTTCTCAGACTCCTGGATTGCACCTCTTTCCTACATTACTGTAGATGGTAAGAATCCATTTTACAGGGCCCCTAAGACTGCATTGCCAGTGTCCCCTTTAACCCTCCTCTCTTGCTAAGGTCTCATATTTATACAAACCTAGGCTTGCTCACAAATAGCCACCATGGGTAAGAAGGAACTATTTCTGAACATTCCCATTATCTTTATATAGATTAAATTAACTATAAAATAATGCTGAAAGATTTCATCTGATTTGTTCAATTAGATAACAGAAAATTTTAAAGGGTTGTTTTAAATTTGTTCTCAATCAAAATTAATTATATAAGTGAACATCTGCTCAATGTCATTGTGGAGAAGGATTAACAGTTCTCTTGACGAGTCAGTATTTATTCCTTTTTTCCTCCAATATGTAACAAATACTAGAATTCTTAAGTTTCTAAACTTAATTTTCTTTCACATTGGACTTTTTAATGCTGGTTGACTTTAGGTCATTTCTAAACAAACACTTAAGGAAATTCAGTCTTGTAAAATAGCTATTTCACAATAAAAAAAATAAGGTTTACAGAATTTTCCATCACAGGTAAGTAAATTCAAAGAACCATGAAGTTTGCAGAGTTGCTGTTTAAGTCATGCACATTTCAGTCAGTTGAGTGCCATGCTTTCATCAGCAGGGGTTCATCTGTGAAACTGACTAGGACTCAGGTAGATGGAGGCGCTGAGAACACTGAGGAAATGGGGTGTGGTTTTTGCTTTGGCCTAGTCTACAAAAGCCACCTATCCTAGAAGACAGACAGCTGCCCAATTTAAAGCAGTAAGAGCAGAAATTGTAAGCTACCTAAATGTTTCCTGCTAATTGGAAAACAAGCAAAAAATGATAATTACCAAAGCAATAAATAGAACTTTAAGGTTGGGTTTTGTTTTCTTTCTTAGATGAATGGATTTCCATAGGATTGGAAGGAAAAGCTGGATATGGTGGCGCATGCTTGTGATGTCAGTGATCAGGAGGCTGAGGCAGGAGGATTGCTGTGAGTTCAAGACCAGCCGGGGCTACAAAGTGAGCTCAAGGCCAGCCTAAACTGTGTAGTGAGACCCTGTCTTCCAAAAACAAAAAAAAAAAAAAAAAAATCAGAGAAGGAAATAGAATAAAATGTTTCTGGTTGTTTGAGCGCTTCTTTGGCTTTTCCTCTGAGGGGTCACTATATTCAGAGAAAGCAAGGTTACCACATTAGTGACAAGGTCCCAAAGTGGGAGTTACCTATTTCTTTCAGAACCTTCTAAAATGTCTACCCTTCTTATCTCTAGCACTTACCCATTTGCTAGAGCAATTGTGGTGAGCCTACGGCACATGAGCTGCAGTAGGCTGTCCCGCCGAGACCTCTGGAAGGCTCACCACCACTGCTCTCTGTATACAGGGTTTATATTTTCTTCTCTGCTCCATAATCTTCCGTGGTTCTCTGTGTATGATTTTAAAGAGCCCTACACTACTCAGTCAAGTCCAACAACAAATTAAGCCTGTTTAACATTCATATTTCTGACTACGAAAGGCACAAAGGGAGGTTAACTTTTATTATTAATTTTTTTATGAGCAGAATATATTTATTGAGGGAAAGAAATCTCCCGTCTGAGAGAGGGACAGGAGAGGGTCCCAAGTGGGTTTTCCCAAGGTTAACTTTTTTTATAAGAGACTTTACCAGTTAATTTTCAATCAGATTCTTACAATTAAATTACAAGTTCTAACAAAGGAATCACCATTCTCCCAAGAACAATTCTTTGAAGTCAGCATCCTCTACTGGGAAAAAATAAAAGAATTTTAAGGCTCAGTGTTTAGACAGCCTGGGCAACAGATGCAAAAGGTGAATGGCTCATGGTGGTATTCATTGTGCGGTGCAGAGTATCACAAGATAACAAACAGAAACACACTTTACAAAGCATAGGTCAGGAGCATCTGTCTGAGAAGCCATGGCCTGTGCTCAGCAATATGAAAAGGCCTGCGGTAATATAGACTATAGTGAGTCCCTCAGCCCCTCAGCTTTTCCTTCTGCCTAAGACTCTCTGGGCAGATGGAGACAGTAGACTGCTTGCCTCTGGTCTGTGAGGAGGCTAAAACAACAAGTGAGGACTGACCAAATAGCTCAGCAGATTAAAGTGCCTGCAAGCAGGCACAGGGGCCAGGGATTTCATCTCTGGGCCTGCCATGCTGGCCCCATCCCCGGGGCACTCTGAGACTGCAATTGAGACTAGGCGTGGTGGTGCATGCCTGTAATCCCAGCTCGTGGGAGGCTATAAATAGGTGGATCACTATGAGTCTGATGTAGTAGTAAGACTCTGTAAACCCATTAGACTCTTCCCTAAAATACAGAGAGCAAAAAAGGGAAAACAAGCATGTACTTTGCAAATTTTTCCACTCAAATTGTAATAGTTCCCTTTACTGTGCTTTCCAAAAGTATCCTTGTACAATTTATGGGGGGTTAGAGGAGCCTGAGCTCTGGGGGGCATACCTCAGTGCATGCGTACATGGGAATAGAGGCACACAAGTGTCTCCTGTGATCCCACAGGATCGATCTCAGCTCACAAGAGCTGTCCTCCTGCAGACAACAAACACCTCATTAGCAAATGACTTGAGCTTTCAACTCAAGTCCTTGCCCTCCTCTTTTCTGAGAACCAGGCACAGGGTGGCTGCTGGCCAAGAATTCATGACTGGAATCTCGGCCACACTACTTTCATCAGATCATCATGCCTCAGACTTCTGAGAAAACTGCACAGGCTTCCCGAGGCTCTGATTTCTCACATGTGACAAATAGATAATGCTCCCGTGTCTTTGGGAATACTGCAGTGATTAATGATAGGTGAAATGAAACACGCTAATATTGATAAACATTTTGGTAAATATTAATTTTCTGTTTACATCTATATCTCAGTCTATCTGTATTGACTGTAATAGTTTACCCCTGTTCTTTTGAGACATTCCATTGTTACTGTTGCTGAATGACTCTTTTCTTTTTGATTCTTTTGATTTATTTTCCCATTTGTTACCATGAATCAAGAAGTGACAAACATATTGTTCAAAGTCCATCTCAGCCTGGCTTCCATCACTGCAATGTTGAGTGTCCCTAGACTGCTCTTGCTGACATCATGACATCTGTTTGACATTTTTCTTTTCTTATTCTTGACCACTACTCTCCATCAACACAGCCCTCCTTACTGCTTCCCTCATACACTTGGCTTCCAGGCTTCCACGACAGGGGCCCTTAGTCTCCTGGGATGTCCTCTGCCACAGCAGCACTGCAGCCTCCATGCTCACTTTGTCCAGGTAAATGTTCTCTTCCTGACCCGAAGTCTCTATGCTCCCCTCTATAAATGATTTCCTCTTGGCACTGAGCTTAACTACGTCTCTTCAGCTGCTTTAAGAAGCGCTGGGAGATGTGATCATGCAGGGCCATGCGTATTTGCTTTCTCACACACGTGTGAGTAA